TGGGAGCTTGCAATGTGTAAATTGGAGGATGAGTGAATTGGAAATGCATTTTAAATGGCTTAGTTCCCCTGAATAATAATGTACCAAAACCATCTTACACCCAAAATGAAAAAAAAACAAGCTTATCAAACTATTCGACAAGTACAAGAAATGATAAAAACAAATAAAGGGAAATTAAAGCACCAACTCAACAGAGAGAAAGCCACAATGATCGGTCATGGCTCCACTGCGTTTCATCGTTTATATAAATGATTTGGAAGTGAACATAGGAGGTATGGTTGGTAAGTTTGCAGATAACACCAAAATTGTTGGTGTAGAGGACAGTCAAGAAGGTTATCTCAGAGGACAACAAGATCTTGATCAAATGGGCCAATGGGCCGAGGAGTGGCAGATGGAGTTTAATTTAGATAAATGTGAGGTGCTGCATGTTGGAAAGGCAAATCAGGGCAGGACTGATACACTTAGTGGTAAGGTCCTGGGGAGTGTTGCTGAACAAAGATGCCTTGGAGTGCAGGTTCATAGTTCCTTGAAAGTGAAGTTGCAAGTTGATAGGATAATGAAGAAGGCGTTTGATATGGCTGCGTTTATTAGTCAGTGCATTAAGTATAGAAGTTGGGAGGTCATATTGCGCTGTACAGGGCATTGGTTAGGCCACTCTTGGAATACTGCGTGCAATTCTGGTCTCCCTGCTTTCGGAAGGATTTTGTGAAACTTGAAAGGGTTCAGAAAAGATTTACAAAGTTGTTGCCAGGGTGAGAGGGTTTGAGGTATGGGGAGAGGTTGAATAGGCTGGGGCCATTTTCCCTGGAGTATCGGAGGCTGAGGGGTGACCTTATAGAGGTTTATAACATCATGAGGGGCATGGGTAGGTTAAATACACAAAGCCTTTTCCCTGGGGTGAGGGAATCCAAAAGTAGAAAGCATAGGTTAAAGGTGAGAGGGGAAAGATTTAAAAGGGACCTGAGGGGAAACTTCTTCACACAGTGGTTGGTCTGTGTAAGGAATGAGCTGCCAGAGGAAGTAGTGGAGGCCGGTACAATTACAACTTTTAAAAGGCATCTGGATGGGTATATGAAAAGGAAGGATTTAGAGGGATATGGGCCAAATGCCGGCAAATGGGACCAAATTTATTTAGGAAATCTGGTTGGCATGGACGAGTTGGACTGTTTCTGTGTTGTACAACTCTTTAACTCTGTGACTCTAAACATTTGCTTGACTAACCATGTGCCATTCCAGGTATGTACTCACTGCTGGCGTTATTCTGACATTTGAAAGTCTATTCAGATCCAACTCCTAAATGCTGAGCTGAGCTCCCAGCTTTTGCCCTCACTCCATACTCTGCTGCATTCTGGCTAGCCCCATTTGAAATGGAAAAAAGTTATATGCATTTTATGTTACTTAATTTTAACCACCCACACATCACCACAACTTCTTTTCCATTCACCATTATCACAGGCTGACATCTTTTCTTTCCCTCTGTTACCTTAACATCATTCCATTTTATGGGAGGAATTTATGCAATTTGGAGCATAATCAAACAGGAAATCAGATCCAGTCAAAGTGTATATTTTTTGTAAAAATTGCATTGTAACAATTGTAGGAAACTTTCTGAAAAATTAAGAAAATGCTCTTGAGATTTTTGTGTGAATATAGCTAAGTACTCACAGAGTTGGAAGTACAGGGTTAGAGACTGTACATAAGAACATGAAAAATGGAGCAGGAGTAGATCATTCAGCCCTTTGAGCTCACTTCACCATTCAATGAGATTGTGTCTGATCTTCTTTGGCACCATTTTCCTGCACTATCCCTATATTCCCTGATGTTTTCAAGATATGAAAATCCAAAAATCTCAGTCTTTTACATACTCAAGGAGTGAGACTTTGCAGCCCTCTAGGTCAGAGAATTGCAACGACTCACCACCCTCCAAGTGAAGAAATTCTTTGTGACTTCAGTGAAATGGTCTGCTCTTATTCTGAGGCTTCATCCCTGGTTCTAAAGTCTCCAGTTATGGGAAACATTCTTCCTACATCAACTCAGTGGAGTCCTCGAAGAATGTTGTTTGTTTAAATGAGGTCACATCTCATTCTTCTAAAGTCCAAAGAATGAAGGCAGATTCTATTTAGTCTTTCCTCATAACTCTTCCATCGCAGGAATTAATTTAGTGAACGTTTGTTGCACTCTTTCTTATAAGGAAAGACAAGTGCTTTTTGTTAGGGCCATGCCATTGCACCTACTGATTCACCCACAGGAAACTTGTTCTGAATGGGAATTCAGGAAAAAGAAGAAAAGTAACTTACTCCATATCGTGTTTTTTCTCAGGGACATTGAAAGCTTGTCGTATACAATAAGTTTATCTAAGGTGATGTTTAACAGGCAACCATTGCAGCTAATTTACACTCAGAGCTATTCCACAAAACAACAGTTGAAGAGTAATTAATGACAGTTTTCATTAGTGGTATTTGATGGAGCAATTTTACCCTGGACCCTGGAGAAATTCCTGTCTGCAGATTGTGTTATGGGTTGATGGAAATTGGTGGAGAAATTTAACAGGTTTGGCAGCATTTGTGGAAATAGAAAGAGAATTAATGTTTCAAGTCCAACGTGACTCTGACTGGAAATATTAAGTCTGGTTTTCCCTCCACAGATGCTGAGTTTCTCCAGGATTTTCTATTTTTATCTCAGATTTACAGCATCCACAGTGTTTTGCTTTTCACCCATTTAGTCAATTTTGAGAATTCTTCAGAACTTAGGTCACAAAAATTGAAACTACTACAGTTCTTAAGTACTACAGTTAAATAGTTAATTCTTGGTCCATCATTTCCAGTTTTGCTGATGGAAAGATTGAAGTGCATGTTTTTAATTGGAGGGAGAGTGAGCTTCTATAGAGCTAACTTCTTTAATGTGGTGCCAAAGATTTGGAGTCTGACAAAAGTGCTGACAACATTTGTTTGGTGCAATGATTCATAACAGCTTTGATCTCTCAATTCTCAGCAATGTGGTAAAAGATTAGGAGCCTAATGCTTAGCTACAGAATAGGAAGAAGTTGAAATATCATCGACACTCAAAATTGCTTACCAGAACAAATGTATTGAATGATATCTCAGGTTTTTAGAGATTGACAGTTTATATAATAAATTATTATATAATTGCAAATTGCTTATTTACAGACCTGTGACTATTCCCATTCCCAACTTCCATTCTAATTTTCTATTCCTCTCATTATGTTGGGTATACTTCCACAGGTATTCCAGGATCTAATAGTATTCTCTTGCCTGCTGATTGGTCTCTTTCACTGATTGGTCCCTAGTCATGTTTCAACTTGGGGACACACTACAGATTCTGATGAAGGTGCCATTCCTTCTATGAGCAATAAAGTCAAAGATTTAAATATAATATGAGCTACAGACTCAAGAATAACATCAACCAGATGCCCCAAGCGGTTTTAGGTTGGTCTGAGATCCTGCATGGAAGTGCAATATTTTTCAGGTGGGGAACAATTAATTCAGGGTCCCATAATACTGAATCTGTTGGAATTCTCCTCAGTCTCTGATCAGAAGGTGCCACTCACAGGTTCATTTTGTTGTCCTTTGTCTTCTGTGATTCATCTGGTGCCACATCATTATTAATATCATGCAATTGCCTCTGCACAAATGCTTGAAAATGAGGAAGCAAGTACCACAGGGAGCTAATATTGAAAGAGAAAACAGAGTGTGCAGAATCATGTTTCAGAAACTGTTAAGTAATCTGTTTTTTACTATCCTCTTCCTTATCTTCATTGTTGCAGTTACAGTTAAAAAGGAAGAAATGTCTTCCCTACTGTTCTTCTTCATAATTTTCCTCCCCTTCCTTGCTGTGATTGACCAGCAGGAGTTGAGGCTAACTGTTAACAAAAAATGAACATAACTTCTTTTGGATCAAAAGTAGGACAATGGGGTGGGAAGTTGTTCCTAAATTAAGATGTACAAAGGATGCTGGGTAATAATGTAAGTTCTGTCAATGATCAAGCACCAGTTTCTGATTTTGCCATCTCCCATTGCAAAAACAGCATTACACTCATTTGCCTCCATATCCTTATTCTCATTGCATGTGAGGGATTAGAGATAGGAGTGTGCCCGCCTGAGACCTACTCCTGTAAGGCATTTTTGTAAATAGCAGTTGGAGGAAGCAAGGGGAAGGTTAGCTACTGGTAAGTGTGTACCAGGCAAGGTGCATGTTCTAGAGACAACGTAGACAAACAGGAGGCTGGAAGAACACAGCAGGCCAGGCAGCGTCTGGAGGAAAGGAGCCGTCAACTTTTTAGCTATTACCCTTCTTCAGAACTGGCTGCTGACTTGACAAATATTGGAATATCAATCTATCAGTTACGTGGCTAATTCTGCAAGCTAGCTATTCCCTCTTTTTATAAAACAAAATACATTTGCCATTTTTATTTAGCTTCAATTCTGAAAGATTTTCTTGTGGGAGCTCAAATGCGTCGTGTTAATGCCCACCATTTTCCCCCTCGATCGTTTAAAAAACGAGGGTTACAAAAAACTCTTAAAGATATGGAGTATGTTTGTTTGTGTTTCACATTTGCAGTAGGTTGCTTTGGTAGTGGGAAGCAAGAAATCAAAAAAACTGAACGGTTTAGCCTGTCTCTCTCCACTCATACGGAGTATTTTTGTTTGTGTTTGGCGTTTGCAGTTGGTTGCTTTATTATAAGGTGGGTACGGGGAGGGGGTGTTGGAACAAAAGTAAATCTGAAAGGTTCACGCTACCTCTTCGCAGATACGGAGTATTTTTGCTCGAGTTTCACATTTTGCACCTGGTTGCTTTAAGGAATCCAGGGGTGGGGGGGAAATGTAAGGTTTGCCCTATCTCCCTACACACAGACATTGAGTGTTTCTGCTTGCGTTTCGCAACTGCAAGCTGGGTTGCTTTAAGCGCGATCAGCGGGGCGGGCGGGGGGATAAATTTGCCTTCTCTGAGTTTTAGAGGTGGGACAGGGTGAAGGTTGCCCTTCCCTAGGTGTTGGAGCTGGGGGAAGGTTACTGTTGTTGACTTTGCAACTTGTCCCTGTCCTGGGGAGGGTGTCACGTGGCCTGGCTGCTGACGTGTGCACGGCTGACGTGTGTAGTGGGCGCCGGGCTGGCTGTTTGGCTGCTTTTCCTCCCCGGACTTTCTCATCATTTCACAGTTACTGCAGCTCGAACTTCCCTCTCTTTCCATGGATGCCCCCAACCAAGGTACAGAACCCTCGCCATTCCGACGCGCAGATGGCCCTTGTTCCTGCATCTGTTCATTATTTCAGAAACGTTTGTTCGAGTATGTGCGCGCTTCAGGCTTGGCTGCTGCCCCAGCCGGAAATCACAGAGATCCAGGCGTCAGGCACAGGAAGGGGCTTAGGCCAAGGCTGAACTCAGAACAACAAGCCGCATCAATTGTACTTGAGATTACCGTAGTTTTTCGCTGGCAGCGATAACTAATCAGCGAACCTTCCATTTCTTTCTCTTTTTCTTGTTAGTAGCACTCCTCTGTCCAAGTTTAGCGAAGATGAAATTAAAATAGAATGCAGCTTGCAGGAAGGCATAACTTTATTTTGATTTACCCCCCCCCAAGTCGCAGTTCCGATCGTATTTGATTTCATCCTTGCTCTGATCTTCTACCAAAAACATGTTTGATTTGTCCACCGTGTAAAATGGAGATTTTTTTATAGGCAGATGGAAAAATCGTGAAATACGGTAAGAATTTATTCCTGCCACAAACCCATACTGGTAAAAGTTGAGCTTTTTTTTAAGTGATCCTTCCCAATGCTCTTGTTTTGAAACAAGGCTATGGCTTGACAATGTCGTTGACAGCAAGAAAATCAAGTTCCTTAAAACTGACAATGATGTGACTGGAAAGGCAAGCAATCTACAAGTATTTCTTTGAGAACACAAAGATTTGGAGACACCCTTTTCTCACAAATATCGTCATCTTTAGCAGAATAGATACCGGAACTTGTTATAATCCATTGAGTGATTTATCGGTTAAGCCTCTGAAACACGTGATGAAATACTTAGACAATTGAGGTAGTATGATTTGTCAGCCTATCCAATTGAAACAAAAACATAAAATGAATACTTGTTTTACTTAAAATTGGCTTTAACTCGTAAGGAAATGAAGTAAATTTAAAGAGATGCTGCTCCTTAACACTGTACTAAAATATTCACTGTTCTAAACCAATGCTAATAATTTGCGTCTGCGTAGAGTAATTTTTGCATTGTGTTGAACTTTGCAATTGTGGCATTCCCGCTCTTGCATAATAAATACCGCTTACTTTGTGGAACAAGAGCTCAACATTGCAGAAAGAATTTTTTTTATATATATATATGTGATACATTTTGAGAATTCTGTTTAAGTTTCTGAACCCATTAATGTAAAAGAAACATAATTGCTATTGATTCATTATCAGTTCACTCCAATCTCAATGCAAACATATCCTCACGTGAAAAAGCCTCAACGTTGTCAGCAAGTCAGAACAAGCAGTGACTCATCTTATGACAGAGTGTAAGATCAACAGAAATCTGCTTCTTTGATAACGGTGGAATTCTGAAAGTTGATTCTTTTGGGCGTTTGCAAGAGAAGTGGGAGAATAATTGTAGTTATTCTTGTTGGTGACTTTATTCCAGTTGGTAAAGCTCTACATGCAACATAACTAGCCTGCTGATTGTATGTATATGTTCCATTTTGTGTTGGGTGCAAGAGGAAGTTAGCAGCAGTGCTCATTTAGAATACCTGAGACATTGCAGTTGTGCCCACGTTTAATGATTTCTTTCTAGCACAATAAAGCAAGCATAGATATTGAACACCAAGAAACTCTGCTGTCTATAATTTATTAAACCTGAAGATTGACCAATAGAATGAGATTCTTGAAGCTACAACTGTTTCTTGAGCTGTCATTTCAATAGGCTTTTGAAGGGAGGTTTAAGAAGGCCTGACAACGCTGAATTTACTTTGCAAAATGTCCTTCAGAAAGTTAAATGTGATTGTTACAAAAAGTTTGCCTTGAGGGCTTTACAATAGTGCTATTATCTTGCCACAGTTTAGTATGGTGATAGTTGTAACATTCAAACAGCAAAGATTGCGTTTTACAGAAAAGCTGTGACAACACTGAATAATATGTACAACATTTTCTTCAGCTGTGAAAAAGAAATTCCCAAAGTGGAAATGTGACTTAGTTTCCTAGTATTACACACAGTGCCTTTCTAATTGAAATCAGTGAATGTAAACTTTCAGATTTGGTAGAATATCAGGATTTTATTTTCTTTTTAACTTCATTTTTTTTTTCATAAATTATGTTACCCCTGTAAATCTTAAATCATGATATGTGTAAAGCTGTACAAGCTGTCCTTTCAGCATCTTGCTTTTATTCAGGTGTGAGGCTAGCCAACAATTAGAAAAACAAAACCATGTGTGATTTCAAAACTCAGTCCAATTGATTTATCCTCTGTCATACAAGTATGTATTGTTCCTTGTATGGGTCACAGTATAGCAATATGAAATGGAGCTTCCTGACTGACTGCCGTCCTGAGCTCAGATTTGTTGAGACAAGTTTGTTGTCAAATTGAGACCTACCCTAGACTTGGGTCTGTTTGTCTGATTGACTTATTGCGGTATAAGTGGCACCCTTACTAAGATACTTGGGAACAAAAAGGCTCTGCTGTAAAGTGTGATGTTTAAATTGTGTAATGAGATGTCTATAAAATTGTAAACTGTGAAAAATTACAAATAATCTGTTGACCCTTCATATGCTCAAAATAATTTTGTAGGAAATGTTGAGGCTGCAGTTTTATTTCTTAAAATTTAGATAACTTTACCAACCTGTTTAGACATGTTATGACTCATCTCTTGAGCAAGTGGGACTTGAACCTACGCCTTCTGGCCCAGAAGTAGGGGCACTACCATCGCACTTAAAGAACCCTCCTTCCATTTAGGCAGATCTTATTTGTGGATGGTACACAGTTGTATATTCTACTTCATTTTTGTGTGGGGGGGAAAGAAATTGAAAAATGTTCAACCTTCTTTGTTATTAATGGATAAATAAGTTTCACCCTCTGTCCTTTTCTATTTAATTTTCTGAAACTTTATCCTGTCAGTCGATTTGTGTTCTTTTGATACTGTTTTAGCAAAATTTTTATATTGTCACCTTCTTCCTGTTCCATTCCCAAACGTTAGTTTTCTACTTATTGGCTAGCTGTGCATGAATGTCTAAAGAGCAGAATAATTAATACAAGTTTTTGTACCTGGCTCAGTGTGCTTATAGTGGAATGCTGTCCAGTTGTTTGCAGCAGTCGTGCTTGGGTTCATTGTTACAGCTTGAGTCCTGTTTCTAGCTGTTTACTTGTTTGTTTGATTGCCTGTGACAGATATCAACCTTAACTCTCCCAACAAAGGTCTGCCTGGAAACATGACTGATGTGCCTGTAGATACTCCTGCAAGTGGAGATGGAGTTGGTGTACTATCTGAAGCTGAAGCAGAGGAGCTCCGCAGTGAACTTTGCAAGGTACAGTTGACAGTATGAAGTAAACACAATTCTGGTGTCTAAGTGGAACTCTCATGTCACAGTGCAATTTTCTTTGGGGATTTTTAAAATCTGTGCAGTAACTACTTTTTATTTAAAAGGCTAGACCAACAGGGGCTCATGGAAAGTGTTTTGTCATTAGACTGGTGTTCTATTAAATAGGTAACTGAGGGTGAAGATGATGTTAACTTATGACATTTGTCATACCTTGCTCTTCACTGCCTGGAAACTTGGTGGAGGCAGGTTCAATTGTGGCATTTGAGAGGGCATTGGATTTTTTTTTGGATGATAATTGTGTGAAGGGATATGGGGAAATGGCAGGAAATTGGCAGTAAATAATAGAGCTGGTGCAGGCATGATGGACCATATGGCTGGCTTCTGCACATGAATAACAATGTGATTCAAGATATTTGCTGAATTTTATTGCCTTTTTAACTGAGACGCAAAGTAATGTGCTTGATGTAACTTTGTGGTTTTGAGTGAGTTAAAATCCAGCTCAATATGTGAACACCACAAATAGCTTTTAGAAATATTTACTTGAGATTCTCACCAATGAAATCATCTGTTAATTGTTTTGTTCATTGACCTTTTTATTGATTTACCAAATTGGTTTTTTGCTATGCATTGAAGTTTTAAATGAATTAATCAAATAATCAGTGTAACAATTTACCAGAAAATTGAGTAATTCCTCTTGCTGACTTTGGGTTGTGCAAGATGATTGTTTGAATTTGACAACTTGCAAGTTAATGAGTTGGTCATATTTAAGTTGGGTGTGGTGCAACTGCAACTAATGGCTTTTCCTAACTATGGAAGGCCAGAAACACACAATTAGCACCTCCATATCGTCATAATCTGATAGTTAAAGTCAAAATGTCAGTGTATGTTTGGATGATGTTTTGCAATCATTGCTGGATCTGTGACTCTTTGATCTGTTCCTAGTTATTTAGCATGATTGCTGCTTGGTCTGTTTCTAAAATGTAGGCAATCTAATGATGGCAAAAATATCACTGATAATCATGGAATGATATGCATTTCTGGGTTTTTCTTTTATGGCACTGTCTCAGTTCTTTTTGAAATTCCAAGCAGTTTTTGAATTCAGTACAGTATTGTGTTCAGTTTCCACTTCCTGGTAGGCTGTTCTTTAGTTGTACAGTCAAAATAGAAAGTCTTCATCCATTAGGATTCCCAAAAATGTGTTGTTTTTTTTTTTAATCAGCAACAACTCTGATCCTATCTGTTCGACATACTTGGAATTTGGAAAAGTAATATGTGGAACTAAAAATTAAGAGAAATTATTGTCTAAATGTACGTTCAATTTCCTCACAGTTTGAATAATTGCTGGCGTGTGTCGTGTCATGTCATTTTAGCTGCCTACAAGGATTTCTGGAAAAAAATTAGAGAAAAGTGCCACAGATTAGTAACCAGGGCAACCTTTGCAATAACATCTTGTGAAATAACATTCCTGATTCAATTGATTGCTTAATCTACTTAATAGACTGAAATACATTTTCAAGCTTCAAATAATTCAAAAAAGATTGAAGACAGCGTTTAACCTATTTAATTCTTGTTTCCATAACAATTCTGATTGCCACGCTATAGGAAGGATATTCTTAAATTGGAGAGAGTTCTGAAAAGATTTACCAGGATGTTGCCTGGAATGGAGGGTTTGAGCAATAAAGATAGGCTGGGACGTGTTTCACTGGAGCGTAGAAGGTTGAGGGTGACCTTTTATAGAGGTTAATCAAATCATGAGGGGCATAGATAAGGTGAGTAGCAAAGGTCTTTTCCCTGAGGTGGAGTTCAAAACTAGGGGGCATATTTTTAAGGTGAGGAGAAAGATTTAAAAAGGATGTGAGGGTCAACTTTTGGTAAACTGAGGTGATTTTGTAAAGAATGAACTACCAGAGGAAGTGGTGAGTGCGAGTACAGTTACAGCATTTTAAAAGACGTTTGGAAAAGTACGTGAATAGGAAAGGTTTGGAGGGATATGGGCCAAATGCAGGCAGGTGGAACTACCTTGTTTTGGGAACAAGGTTGGCATAGACTAGTTGGACCATGGGGTCTGTTTCCATGCTGTATGATTGTGTACAACTCTGATGTTACATAGAAATATAGGAGCAGGAGGAGGCCATTGGGCCCTTTGAGCCTGCTCCGCCATTCTTCATGATCATGGCTCATCGTCCAACTCAATAGCCTAATACTGGCTGTTTTTCCCCATAACCTTTGATCCCATTCGCCTCCAAGTGCTATACCGAGTCGCCTCTTGAATACGTTCAATGTTTTGGCATCAACTACTTCCTGTGGTAATGAATTCCACAGGCTCACCACTCATTGGGTGAGAAAACGTCTCCTCATCTCCATCCTTCTGTCATACTGTGACCTCTGGTTCAAGACACACCCACCATTGGGAACATCCTCCCTGGATCGACAGTGTCTAGTCCCGTTAGAATTTTACAAGGATCCCCCTCGTTTGCCTGAACTCTAGCAAAAACAATTCCAACCTAGTCAATCTCTCCTCGTACGTCAGACCCGCCATCCCTGGAATCAGTCTGGTAAACCTTCGCTGCGTTCCCTTGAGAGCAAGATCATCCTTCCTCAGTAAAGGATACCAAAATTCCACACACTATTCCAGGTGTGGTCTTATCAAGGCCCTGTACAACTGCAATAACACATTCCTGCTCGTACTCAATACCTCTTGCAATGAAGGCCAACATACCATTTGTCTTTTTTACCGTCTGCTGCACCTGCATACTTACCTTCAGCGCTGGTGCAAAAAGGACGCCCAGGTCCCACTGCACACTCCCCCCTCCCAATTTACAGCCAATCAGGTAGTAATCTGCCATCTTGTTTTTGCTTCCAAAGTGAATAACCTCACACTTACCCAAATTATACTGCATCTGCCATTGACTTGCCCACTCACCCAACCTGTTGAGATCATGCTGAAGGATCTCTGCATTCTCGTCACAGTTCACCCTCCCAGCCAACTTGCTATCATCTGCAACCTTAGAGATGTTACATTTTGTTCTCTCATCCAAATCACGAATAGCTATTGTGAATAGCTGGGGTCCCAGCACTGATCCCTGTGACACCCCACTAGTTACTGCTGCCAATTTGAAAATGACTCATTAATTCCTACTCTTTGTTTCCTCCATGCCAACCAGTTTCCTATCCATCTCAATACACTTTCCGCCAATCCCATGCGTTTTAATCTTGCACAAAAATCTCTTATGTGGGACTTTGTCAAATGCTTTCTGAGAGTCCAAATATACTACATCGACTGGTTCCTCCTTGTCAACTCTGAGTTAATTCTTCATAGAATTCCAACAGATTTGTCCAGCATGATTTCCCCTTCATAAATCCATGCTTGCTCTGTCTGATCCTGCCACTGCTTTCTAAATGCTCTGCTATAAAATCCTTGACAATGGATTTGAGAATTTTCCCCACTACAAATATTACGCTCACTGGTCTGTAACTTCCTGTTTTCTCTCTACCTCCCTTTTTGAACATTTGGAGTGGCATTAGCCACCCTCCAATCTGCAGGGACTGTTCCAGAGTCTGTAGAATCCTGGAAGATGACCATTGCAGCAATCAACTTCTTATTCTTTAGTGACTCCAGACTTAATTCTTCCTTGTGAATCTGGAAGAGAAATTCTGGAGCTGATTCTGTATGATAAATGGCTTCCGGAAGTCAATCCTGAATCTGCAGCCTCCCCGCCACCCCTCCCCCACCCACCCCGGTTTGTTGCCATAGTGATGCTTTATTTTTAAGTGGGTATTTGCTTTTGATGCTCTACTAATTTGAAAATTTAGCTTTGTTCTGCAGTAAATTCAATGGTAATTATAGCAACCCAATGTGGTGATATTACATACGGATAAATCTCTGGTTTTATACCTGACCTGTTCTGCATTAGGTTGATTGTGGTGCGCCTCTTAAGCTGGGGCAGGCTTGAGGCCGGGGGAACAGAAGCATAAATTCAGATTTTATGCCTGGTTGCTACATATTGAATCCCTACTGCAATGGTTGTGCCCACACATCAGGTGAGATCTGAAGGTCCCACCTATCTGAATTTATCCTCCAACATCTAAAACTCAGTCTGCTTCATACATGATATCAGCTGAATGAGAGAATGCCTGGTAGCTAGTACTTTCTGAATTTTATTCCAACATGAATCACTTTCTTAGGGTGGAGACAGGAAGGAACATAGACTCAGCAACTGTTCCCTTGGCTAGTAACAGGATGGACCTGTACTTTTTTCCCTTTCCTTTTTGGCCCCCTGAGTCATTGATTAACTGACTGCGAGGAGCCGTACTGCTCTTGGAGATCTGACAGACTTTTTTAGTTTGATTATGTGGAAGTAGCCTTTTTCTCTTTGAATTAATGCATTTATCTCAATGGGTAGCTTTAAAATTACTCCATTGCTGTTTTTAAAGAGGTGGAGTTCAATAGAATTTGATGTGGGTGTTAGAGAAGATGCATGTTTTTGTGTGGGAATTTGTCGGACGAAACGGCCTTTGAAGTGTATAGCAAATTAGTATTGCATTGAAGATGATGTTTATGTTTTTGTCACTGGATATTGATTGTAACTTTGAGCAGTGAAAGTCCTCCTGCTGAACCAATTTATTTAAGAAAGCCCCTGTGCTGGTTGAATATCTCTGTAACATGATCTGTACAATTCATGTTTGTGCGCTTCAGAATTGAATCTGAAGTTAATTTTTGCAGTGAACATTCTGTTTACCAGAAATTTACAAATATTTAATGTTCACTGATCATTTTGTGGCTTTGGGACTACCTTGAGTGATTTCCAAAACCACCTCTGCACATAATCTTCATTACAAGGATTTGTTCAAAATGTTGCTTCCTTATCTGGGGTCATGAACTATGTACAGATTAACGCAGGGATTGGTAATAAGCATTTTATCAGGATTGTGGAAAACACACTTAAGCCATGTGTTTGAAGTTTATATAAAAATGGACTTCGCTGCCTTTAGTAGGAAAGCCTCCTTACATATATGTGCTTACTGAAAAAAGCAGTTGATTATTTGAGAGTTGAACTTTGTGGGCTTTTTTTCTGTAGGTTGAGGATGAAATAGCAACACTTCGACAGGTGCTAGTTGCCAAAGAAAAACACGCTTCTGAGATCAAAAGAAAGTTGGGATTGACAGCTTTCACTGAGCTCAAGCAAAACTTGAGCAAAAGTTGGCAAGATGTACAAGCATCCAATGCGTGAGTACTTGGAACATAGAACTAGAATTTTTCTCCTTTGTTTACCATTCTTTATGAATAGTATCATGGTATCTGACTCTGAGCACGGTCAGTGTCTAAGATATATGTGGAAGAGATTGGTGCCCTGCCCTTTCCTCCCCTTTTGAGATTTGCATATGTGAATTACATGATGTACAATCGATAAGTAAACTAAAATGTAGTATTTCTGAACATTGAAACATTTTTTGTTTCAGCTCAACATCAGGCTTTTTGATCTTGTGTGTACAGTGAACAACTTTTTATTGTGCTTCATCAATGTGCTTAAACCTCCAACTTCTGTCGAGCATCCGCTTTCAGTGCTGATTTTTATGGCCATGACTATCACTTTGAATTTTCCAACATGAAGTTGCTGGAGTGATGCTGTTTTTGGAAATTTAGGTTTCAGTCCTTTACCCACAAGATTAAAACTCTTGCAGCTAATTGTAGATTCCAACTTTGTTGGTAATGAACAATGTTAATGTACTGTGCAGTTTAGCTTTAGGATCTACTCATGCATACAATTATTAACAATTTCTTTCAGACCAGTGAATAGATTGGATAGTTTTGGGTGTAATTTATTTTCTTTCCTATTTCTCTTAACAATTAAAAAGATTACAGTATTATCTTCACTTGTGAATTCTTGTCTCTTTTTTACTGAATTATTTTGAGGGATCTGGGATAGTGAGGTGGAGGCTGGGACCTTTGCAAGGAGTGGGCCACTCTGGAAGTTTGTGTCAGTAGCAAGGATAAAGGCCTGCACCATTTGCTCATCCTTTTAGCCTTAGTGTGAAGGGACGGCTGTGGGAAGACTGGGAGTCTGCAGTGGTATGGGAGAAAGAAGGAGAAGAGGGTTGCTGCAAAGAACAGAACAACTTCAAGCTAAAATGAAAACTTTATTGTTGTGCAGGGGCTTTCCATCCAAGCACCTGCTTCCCTTCATGAGCATGATAACAGCTTTCTTTCTGCTTTTGCAAAATGGGATAAATAGGCAGCATGGGATCTCGGAAAAGGCAGTTGAATAATGTGTGTGCGTTTCATGTGACGAAGTGAAGAAATCAATGTAAAGGACAAACGAAATTGTGCATCCTTACTTTTTATTTCTGTCTATCCACTGTTTTCTCCACGTTGCAAAGGTATTCTTGTTTGCTACTGGCAATGATTAGCTCAGTTCAAATTATTTAAATGATTCCCGTTCCTATGAGTTGTTATAATTTTATACTTTTAAGCTGCTAAATTACTTTTCTCAAGTTATAGTACAATAAGTTCAGCAGCATAATTGGTGCACATACCTAAAGACAAAAATGTCTGTTTTTGTCACGTTATTTAATAAATGCAGCAACATTTCAATCATGTTTTGGAAATGCTGCTGCAGATAAGTAGATTAATTTTTCTTCAAATTGTTTTTAACTTTGATAACTAACTAGGAAGAATGGCATGTCCAAGTAACCTGTCGAGTGTTTTGTGTGCTATACTTACGGTGAAATGCAATTTTATTAACCTGTTCTGATTTTCTCTTTTGAACTGTTCAATTTGCTGAATAAGAAGGAGCATGAGCATTAATGAAAACACTGCTTTGCTGGATTGTTTTTTTTCATCAAAAAATATGTTGTTTCTTTAGTTAGATTTGTGTGGGCAATTGGAAAATAATCATTTCCAGTTGACAAAAGATCTACTGACGGTTTGGACTTTTCATGAAGTACATTGCATCATCTTCCATTCCTAGGTTGTTTACAACAAACTTGTTACATTGTGTGATATTGCAGCTTGCTAGTTTGATTCACATTGTACAATCTAATCAGTCCTAAATAGGTGAACATGTGAAGAAAAGTATGGCACAGTTGTAGTATCCCTACCTCTGTACCAGCAGGGCTGTGTTCAAGTTCCCCCTGCTCCAGAGGTACATCATAACCCTTCTGAGCAGGGTTGGTTTTTTTTTAAATGTATATAAGGTTAAGTTTTAGGCTCTTGTGGTGCATTGGTTGCGTCCCTACCTCTGAGCTAGGGGACCAGAGTTCATGCTCCATGTGCCTCAGAGGTATGTATAACATCTCTTAAATAGGCTGATCCAAAAATATTTGCAGTTTAAAGAATGACATTGGGGAAAAGTTTGGAATTATGAACAAAACCCTTTTCTTAAAATAAAAATTAGACGCCTTTGCCCCATCTTTGGAGTGCTAGCAAGCTAGGATCACTTGTTTCAGGCACATTAATATGAACAGTGCTCGGTTAGTTAGATAGTGTTGTGAAACCACCATTTTGCTGTAGCTCCTTGAAACCTGAATAACATTTGAACTGTTTTTGCTATTTTTTCATCTCGATTTGTGAAGATTTTGCATGTCCTTTTAATGGAGTAAACACTAGCTCATGTAGAGTAGTTTCTGTAGCTATTGTCATTTAGCTCACTTGATTTGCAAATGATCAGAGTAACACCTGCTCTGGAAAAATACTTGAAATTGTGCTATATTCCCAGTAGGTTCAGTGAATTTCCAATGTAATTTAAGCTTCTACAAACACAGAATCAGCTCAGACATTTTCTGCTTTGTTGTCTCTGTTGGTGAAGAGCCTAAATAAAATCTTTTGGATAGACAATTGCTTTCTTTCCCTACTCGCTCCAAGTAAAGGCTTTTACTTAATTTTATGACTTAAATTTTTTAGCTTTTATTTGTTTCATGTGCTCTTTATTTCAGTTTCATTTGTACCTATTTTGATTGCATTGAGTTTGCTGTTTTCTGTTTTTTATTGTACATTTCTTTGCTCTGAGCAAAATGGGTTGACTGCATTCTATTAGTATAAATTTTTAAATTATCGGTGAGGCTTTTCTACACTTAACTATGGTGTTCCTGTGTGGTAGCTTGGTGATTCAGTAAAATGCTAGCAAGTAAGTTTCGCTCAGTATGTCCCAGAAGATTTGATTGACTCACCTTCCAGTATTAGTATCCAGACTGACACTGATGAACTACATACCAGGTTGGAGGAAACAAAAACAATGGGATCAGCTGACAGTTTCAATTCAATAATAAGACATTAGAAAGTGCAGCACGTAAATAGACCACTTCGCTTATGTGTAATAAGCTAAGTTTTCAGATTTGATCTAGGGATTCTGATATCCTATTCGTGCTCTTTCTTAGTTTCTTGTACTGAACATTGAATTTATCTAACAAATCATTAGCCTAATTTTCACTCCAAAATAATGGACTTCAAATGATGACACATAATTATATTTTTATATTTGGTTCATTAAGAAGTAATGCTAACATGATGATATATCAACTTCAGACTACTAACACTTGTTGCTGTTGTGTCAGAGTAACAGTGAAATTCACTGGGCATTTGTCATGTGAGATTATACCATTTCAACTCTTTTGGTTGAGAGTTAAAATTTTACTGAATTATAGTTTATCATTCAACTTTTAAGAAAACCATATGAGAATTTGAGCTGTACCCAATTTTTAGTTTACAATGTACAGTGTAATTTATTTAAATCAAGGCCAAAGTTACGCTATACCTGCGCTTCTTTGCGATGCGAATAGTGGACCTTTTGTAATGCTGGAAATGTCATATACTACAGTACTTGTGGATAAATCTTTGGGACATGATCTAATATATCGCAGAAAATTGTGGGAAGTAAGGAAGGAAATTGTGAGACCCCTTGCAGAATATTTGCATCATCTATAAGTACAGGTGAGGTGCCTGATGACTGGAGGGTGGCTAATGTTTTACCTCTAAAAAAGGATGTATGGAGAAACCTGGGTACTGTAGACCTGCGAGTCTGACTTTGGTTGTGGGTAAATTGTTGGAGGTGATTTATAAATGGTAGGATTTATGGATATTTAGAGAGGCAACAATTGGGTAGGGATAGCCAGCATGATTTTCTGCGAGGGGAAAATGGTGCCTCATAAACTTAATTTTTTTTTGAGGAAGTTACCAAAAAGATTGGCAGAGCAGTAGACGTTTGTTTGGATTTCAGTAAAGCCTTTGACAAGGTTTCACATGTAGACTAATTAGTAAAGTTAGGTCTTATGGGATTCAGGGTGAGCTTGCCAATTGGATACATAATTGGCTTAATGGCAGGAGACACAGAGTAATGGTTGAGGGTTGCTTTTCAGACTGGAGGCCTGTGACCAGTGGTGTTCTATGGGGATGGGCTCAGGGTCTTCGTTTGTCATTTATATAAATTATTTGGATGAGAATGTAGAAGGTATGGTTAGTAAGTTTGCGAATGACACCAAAATTGGTGGCATAGTAGACAGTGAAGAAGACTACAAAGGGATTTTGATCAAATGGGTCAATGGGCTGAAAAATGACAAATGGAGTTCAATCTGGATAAATGTGAGATATCACATTTTGGTACAACAAACAAGGATAGGGCTTATACAATTATTGGTAGCGCCATGGGCCATGTTGTAGAACAAAGGGAACTGGGGTGCAGGTACATAATTCTTTGAAGTTTGCATCACGTAGACAGGGTGGTTAAAAAGGTATTTGGCACACTTGCCTTCATTGCAAAGTCCTTTTTGAAGTCATATTGAAGTTGTACAGGACATTGATGAGGCCTTTTCTGGGATACTGTGTCCAGTTCTGGTTGACCAGTTATAGGAAGTATATGATCAAGCCGGAGAGGGTTCTGAAGAGATTCGCCAGGATGTTGTCAGATATGGAAGGTTTAAGTTATAAGGAAAGGCTGGATAGGCTGGGACTCTATTTTTGCCACTGGACCATAGGAGGTTGACAGACAACCTGGAAGAAGTTTATAAAATAATGAGACGTGTGGATGGTATTAATGGATTAGTTGTCTTTTCCCTAGGATGGGGGATTTCAAGACTAGGGGACACATTTTTTAAGGTGAGAGGAGAGAGATTTAAAAAAAGACATGAGATGAAAATTTTTTTTTTTTTACACAGGATGGTTTGTGTGTGGAATGAACTTTCTGACGAAGTGGTGGATCCAGATAGAATTACACCGTTTAAAAGACATTTGGCTAG